AAACTTTTTGAAAATCGCTGTCTGTCCAGGAAGCAATAAAATCAGGAAATATTTAAGAACTTTTATCAACAATCACATTTTAATAATTCCTTGATTTATTTTGATGAATATTATGTTCTTTCTCACAAGACTTGAGAGCAGATAACATTTCCTTATTTTATTCATCCTCAGAGCAACCGCAAGAGAAACTTTGTATTATAGGGTGCTATTATTTCCACCCTGCAAAAAGATTGTGAGGCTGATAGGAACTTGACAAAGGAAAGTGAGTCCATGACTGAGTCCAGTTTTTCTGTAGCAGACCTGGGATCGGAACCTGGATCCGACCATTCTGTACAACATCTTTTGTGCATTTTTTTCATATTAAAAATAAAAATATATATGCCAGACCCTTTTTTCAAAGGCCAGCAGCATCAAATTTACAAGAGCTGAGCAGGGCTGTCAAGGAGAGAATATTTTGGAAGGCATATATTCATGGGGTTGCCATAAGTTGAAGGCAACTTGGCAGCGTTTAACAACAACAAAACAGCACCAAGCATTAACTAGGAAAACTTAAGGATTTTGCCATACCAGGCCTTACACTGGCAACAAAAGGTTCTCATACATATACAAATTGACTTTAATTTGCTTATGCTCCAGAATATTCTTAATTTGCTTAGATTGCATGGATTGGAAAGATGTAATTTCTCCAAGCCGCACCTTGTCAAAATGGGGGCACTCTATGGTACCAGTGTATTTGGATATGTGTTCGTGTGTTTGTACACACACACACACACACACACACTGCAATGAGCTTTCACAAAATTGGTTGCCAGGCTTGTATATCACAGCAGTCAATAATGTGAATGTGTTAGAGAGATGGAACAGTAAAAAAAAGGTTACTTAGCTAATAAGCTAAATGATATCAGTGAGGAAAAATTCTTGTAATAAGGATGGTGTTTTAATAACCTATGCCATATCTTTTATAAGTCCCTTGCTAACACTCTATAGTTTAGCAGTTTTTATTCATTAGAATGGAACTTTTCTTTCAAGTTTCTCCTAATTTTGGCTCTTATCTAGCCTTTTCAAACACCCTCCTGGCTATAATCCAAACAGTTTGAGAGGCATTTGGGACTAAAGGTTGTAAAGGCATTGTAGTGATTTTTCAGAGATATGTATGTAGATTATTATTTTTAGCATGTGTGTATATTTTTAGTCTGATTACAATTAAATAGAAATTGTGCTTATAAAAAAAGAATGACAGGGCTCAAAAATAGAAGGTTATTTTCTGGAGAAAATAGAAATGCAATGTGTTGTGATATAGTGAGGGCTTCCTGCTGGTACACTGCAGTATACTTAGGGGTAGAACTAAATCATAACTATGATGGCCTTTCATTTTCTGTTATTTTGGTTTTTATTGCTCAGCATTGTTTTAGTAAATATTTCATTGCTCTAATGCCATACCTGTGATGGGTGATAATATGAATCGGCACTAGCAAATTAAGCTTTCACTTATATATGTACTTAACCTGGAGTGTGTGGCCTTACTCCTGATTTCACATGCACGGGATTGTGCTGCAAGGCAAGGCAAATTTGAGGTTATGGAAGTGTTCAGCAATAAAATATGATCAGTTTGGTTTCTTTAACTGTGCTTTTCATGTAAGCATTGCCTTCTTTCATCTGTAAGATATTTCTCTGCTTCTGTCAAGAGGACTTGCTGAGATGTTGCTTTAACCTTAGGCAGAGGAGTTTCAAGAACAGCCCAAATACTTCCTGAGGGTAGAATTAGTGATTACACCCAACACAGACAAAAATGGCAGCCTTCTGACAACTACTCCAATATTGAGCCATGTAACACTGAGCCATGCTGTTATACCTTCACATGATCCATTTTGTTGGCCCATACACCACAAAAATGGCTTAGAGATTGGAGAAAAAGCATGCCTAAATACTGTGGAAAGGAAGCAAAGAGTTCAAACTAGAGCTACCAGAAGTTGCCATTTTCATGAGCATTAAGTATAATGATAGGTCAACCCTGAGTACCATGAATTTATGGAAATCATTAATCATTTGGAGATAGCTAGGAGAATATGTATGAGCTCCTCTGTTTCTGAGATAGAAATTTCTTCATGCCGGATGCCACTGAAAGCAATGTTTGTTATGAAATAGAACATATGTAGCAAGTAATTGTGATACTTATCAAATAATTTTAAACATCCAAATAAAACTGCTTTCCAAGACAAGTATTATTTTATTTTTCATTGGCTTTACTTTAATAGAGGGAGGTTTTTTTTAATATTGTGTTGTCATTTTTCAGTCACTATACATGTCTAGAAATTATACCTTTTCCTATTGGTATTATCTTATAAGCAAATTTCCAGTGGTAATTTTAATATATGGCTATAAAATAGTTCTTCTGGCACTTTCAGTTTAGTTAACAGCTGCTACATCAGTCTCCAAATATCTATTAAATAAAGGAAGACATTTTGTAATATACATTAATAGTGAATGAGGAGAAAAGTAG